CGGATGCCTGCGTCGGCGCGGCACACGCTCGAAGCTTGCAGAGATACCTGACAGTACACAAGCGGCGGGGTGAAGTGTGGAGTCTACGAGTTCCGATATCCTGATTGGTCGCAACAAAGAACGCTTGCGAGGCGCGTGCCACCCTCTGTCTGGGCAGTCTGCACCGGGCACACGTTACCCACCTGTGGCGGAAACTTCAAACCTCTAACGCACGAAAAAAAAAAAAGAACTACTACTCCGTTTCATCGACAACGACGATGACAATGACATCAACGACGCGATCCACTTCGATGTGGAGCTCACATGGCTAGGATCTCCGTGCCGCCAAAGGTTTGCGGTCCGGTTTGTCGTTCTACCGTAACGGCAACTCCTCCTTTCGGGTGCCCCCCGCTCGCCTCGGCGTGTCGGAAAGCGGCGTGTGCTGTCGGGGCTCTCTGTGCCCAAGAGCTGCGAAGCGGTGGACACGAACAGCGAGCAGTGCGTCATTTTCATATGCTTCACAACAATGCGCCTGCTGTTGCATGCCATTAACACATGGAGATAACGGCCGACTTCTATGTGGTGCTCGTCGAACAGCAGTCTTTCGTCGATCATGGGAAGGAACAGCTACGGCCAGCGGTCGGCACTGCGTACAAATTGAAAATGCAAACATACCTGTAAGGAGTCCCAGCCATCGTGTGCACAACCCCGACCGTGCTCGTTGGCGCGCTGGTTACCATGGACATTGCCGCTTCTCCAATATTCCGGTGTCGGGCTTTGAACGCCACCAAGTTGGGTGTGTCGTGGCCTCCTAGCTCAGAGCGGATTATCTCCCCTGCGGAGAAAACAATGGAAAGGAAGGGGGCGGGAGATGAGATACAGAGGGAACGACATTCGACGACCTCTAAACACACCTTTCATTGTACAAAGCAGAGCAGCCGCTGTTATTTCTGTATATCTGCGTGTGCGCATGTAGATTTGATTCCAAATACTCTGGACTTCTTATGCACACAACCTTAAAAACCTGTGTGGAATGTTTTGCTGTCTGGACGCCTCAGCACTCAGCATTATGTCGCACACAAGAGGCCACACACGAGGTTTTTTATCGTGCCACCTCGACGACTTTCTAAGCCGTGCTGCTGCTGTCTTTTCCAGTGTTGTGGGTTATCGACAACAGATCCGGGCACCCTCCGGGTATTTCTTAGCACACGCATGAGAGCCTGTGAATGATTGATAAACAAGATAGTAACACTGCCTGCAAGTGTAAACAAGCCGTTCACACCAGGTACTGGTGTTGGATGTACTCACAGCATTGACGGATTATTTTACGCAAGAATTTTCCAAGCAGACGGAGCGGGGAGTTTGGGGATTCAACAGTTGCTATGAATTGGATTTGGTGGTACCAACTTTGGCGCATATTACAAGATTGAGGGAATGGGTATCTACAACGGATGTGATGATGTGGGTTGTGGTTCAGTCCCTTTTTTTATCTCCTTTCCTAAAAAAATCATACCTTTTCCCCCAGCTTTCACGCCACTCGGCTATCACGCCACCCGGCTTCCACGCCACGAGGACTTCCACGTCCTTGTCTATATCTTATATCAAGGCTTCACGCCACCTCCAGGGTTATCACATGCATCCGAGAGCTACCACGCTTCACAACAAAATAGACTTATTTCTATAGAGATGGATTTGTTGGGTGATACAGTGGGGGGCCCGCTATAGTGCCGGGTAGTGTCCAGAGGGAAAAGCGGCACTATACCGGGCACCGGCAGTATTCAGAATAGTGCCTCAGTAGTCCGGATGGGCAGTATTGAGGCTTCGAATATACCTCAGTAGTGCCGGACCGGCACTACTGAGGAGGCGGTGATTTCATGGTGCAACGCTCAAGCTTTGCGGGGTCAACAGAGTACGATGTGGATCGTGGATCGAAAATGAGTGCAGGATTGCTGGACGTCTAAGTCCTCGTTGCCATTTCGTTCACTGCGTCCAGTCGAAGAGCCTCTGCCACCTCATCGTCGTCACTGGCGGCACTGCTGGCTGGAACGCACGTGACAACAGGCGGCGAGGAGGAGGACCAAGAGGAGGGCAGTGGCGATGACAACACGGGGCCCGAGCGCCGTGCTCCACCTGCTTATGCTGAGCTGTCGCCTCACTTCAGCGTCCTAGAAGCGGCAGCAGATGAGAGTGGCAACGGAGACGCGGCGTTCTTCCTAACGAAAGCGAAGATGGCAATGATTGCAGCGCATTCCGCTAAGCGGGTGCGCCAGGCAGACATGAGAGAGTTTGTTGCTCCAACGGAGTAAGGTATGCAGCTGTTGTATGTATCGATGGTTGTTTCCTTTTTTTCCGGTGCGCTTCCTGTCGTGCTTTTCTCTGTTTTTTTCTTCTTGCAACATCCAAGGGGGGGCGCCAGGCACACATGTGAGAGAGAGTTGCTGCTACGTTGCGAGGGCGGGGAGAACAGCTGTGGTAGTAGTAATGGTAGTTATTTTTTCGTGCGGTGCGCTTCCTGTCGTAGTTCTTTCTCTCTGTTGTCTTTTTTTATCGGGCAACATCGAAGGAGGGCAACGAGGACTTAGACGTCCAGTAATCCTGCACTCATTTTCGATCCACGATCCACATCGTACTCTGTTGACTCCGCAAAGCTTGTGCGCTGCGCCATGAAATCAGGCAACCCTCCCATACATAGGGGTCCAAAAAAAATAATTCAATCATTTCGCGCGAAGCGCGACAAGAAGGGTCGGTGAGAGACATCAAAGCAAGCGTAGATGGATATGGATGGAGCCTACACCACCACATAGGTCACCAGTGCGCACGCTCACACCTCACCCTATACCACCAGTCAGTCAGAAATGCATGGGAGCAATGTTTAGCTCTCATCATCAGCTCAGCGGCAGCAGTGCTGGTGCTGGTGCTGGTGCTGCTTGCTGTTGCTGCCGCCTCTGCTGCTGTGCATGGGTGCGCAGTTGCTTTCTTCGCTTTCACTACTAGCAAAGGGCAACGGACTCTAAAAATTGGCCCGGAGCCCTCCCACGACGTGTGTATTTGGCCGCCCTTGGCTTACATCGGTGTGTCTGTCTCACTTGTCTCTGTTTCCGGGGTGCGTCTGTTGTGGAAGCAAAAGATCCGCCGGCAGACGAAGAGACCGCAGACAAAGATCTGACGTGCGTGCACTCGCATGTTCCCTTGCTTACGTGGCTAGCAGTAGGCCTCCGGGTCTACAAATAGATATAGCTTCCGACGCCAGCCATGATGTGTCCCTTTGGCCGGCCTTGGCCTACAGGAGTGTGTAGGCCTCGTTTTCTCTACTGTGGGGATGTGTCGGTGCGGGAAGCTCCAAAGATCGGTAGGTTGAGGGTGACGCAAACCGACCGCGGATTGACCTGCGTCGTCACTCGCTTGTGCTGCCGACAGCAAGCAAGGGGCTGCAACAGTCATACCCAACGCCTCTCATGATGTGTGCCTTTGGCTGCCCTTGGCCTACAACATCCGATACTGCTGTGCTGGTTGTATCGCATGTTGTGTACGTGATGTGTATGGTGCTGCTGTGCAAGAGGATTTCGGTGATTCTGCCGAGAGCGTCGTGCCCATCGCCCAATCATCTGTCGCTGTCTTACAAAATGTCTCACAAACTCGACGGGTGATTGGTGGGAGATGGGCATCTACCCGGCTCTACTCCTCTGAAACATAGACAATTGTTGGAAGTTCTTCCGTGTCTTACAAAAAAATCGCCCTATTTATGGGTGCCCTGTCCATCACCGCCTCCTCAGTAGTGCCGGTTAGTGCCGGACCGGCACTACTGAGGTATATTCGAAGCCTCAATACTGCCGAACCGGCACTATTGACGCACTATTCTGAATACTGCCGGTGTCCGGTATAGTGCCGCTCTTCCCTCCGGACACTACCCGGCACTATAGCGGGCCCCCCACTACGCTGTTTGCCAAGATGCTGGCTCTTTTATTTCCCTCAACAACTGCTGAAGTACGGATTAGATCTCGTGTGAAGAGTGGCAGCATCATTGAGTTGATGCCGACACTCACCGCTTCCCAAAACCGTGGTACTTCGATCGCCACCTAGATCTATTCCGACCCATCTCTCCTCGCCAACCAACGCCGCCATCGTCACCAGAGCAGAGCAGAGCAGAGCAGAGCAGAGCAGAGCAGAGCAGAGCAGAGCAGAACAGAGCAGAGCAGAGCAGAGCAGAGCAGAGCACCAGAGTCGTGCAACAGCACAACGGCCTGCAGAGTCGGGGTCAAGTGTTGCAAGATGCGGATGGGGCCCCATAGAGTAGAACAAAAATAAAGAGTGGGGTACGGTATTCTCAACATCTACCCCCCCTGGGAGCGTTGAGTTGAGCGTCGCGTGCCACACGCGCGTTCACGTAGCTCCACTCTTGGCCACCATGGCCGAAAACGGGCGTGGAGTCAAGCTTTGCTTCGGAGATGTCCAAGCCAGCTGGGCCCAGGTGAGACCTGCTGTTTAGGGAGACGGAAGAGTCTAAAGGCCGATCCTTCCTTCGCATGGTTGCTTCCCGTGGATGCTACTTACACCCGGTCTCCTATTTAGTGTAGACTATGTAGACGGGTCGTTTGCTGCCCTTTCGAGCGAGTTTCGTGGATGCCGCTCGGGTATTGTTGTTCATCCTCTCCACGCTTTGCGGGGCTTACGTTGGATCTCTTGCCGCTTCAACTGATACTACAGAGCACCTGCGCCAAGCATGTTTTTTTTCGGGAAAACGACACAACAGGGTTTACCCTGGTCGAAAAGCGACACACCTGGGTACACAGCAGTCATTAACAGCAGAAAATGCGCTCATTTGATTGGTCACCGCCCAATTTTATCCCGGTGTGTCGCTTTTCGACCAGGGTATACCCTGCCGTGACCACTTTTCTCAAAAACTGTACCCTATTTTCGGAAATGTACCCTGACCTGTCGGGAAATCAGACCCTTTCATCAATCATTTCCCCCGCAGGAATCTTCCTCAACTCCTTTTCCCCTCCAACCATGAGATACCAAACGGCGACTCTTCCCGCCCAATAACAACCATGGCAACGGGGCAGGAATCAGTTTCCGCCCCTGCGAAACAACACCAACGATCAACTCTTCCGCTCTAAATCAACAATGGCCGCCGGGCAATACCCCAGCACAACTCTGTTCCGTTTGGAAACATGCACACGCGTACGATACCCCGTGGACGACTGCTTGCTGCAGTGTATATGCGAGATGCACGGGTCACGCTATGAAAGCGAGACCGATCCTGCATGGTTGACATGCATTATATATGCAGTAAAGTAAATTTGCCAATAATGTGTCGCTCTGCGCTGAGCGGGCGGAGGGGAGAGGCAGCACCAGCAGACACAGACACGCCCTTGACATCAACCATGGAAGGAGGAGCGAGCGGCAGCGCAGGAGCGGCGACGGCGGGTTTGTCCACCACGGTAGCGCCCGTTACCGCAGGGCAGGTATTCTCCAGCCGCCATGACGCGAAGGTCGCCGTAGCCGCTGAGCTTGCTGCCACCGGTCGTTCTATGAAGAATGGAAAGGGTGCCGGCAGTCGGCAAATTCACCTGGTTTGCAAGACTTGTACAAGTTGGGTTGTTAAAGGCTGCCTACAGAAGGGGGGTGATTTCAAAATCACCAAGGTAGAGGGCTCGCATGTCGACTGTGCTGGGGGTGGGCGGACGAGCTCCGCAGTGGTACAACCCCTGGTGGACCAGTTGGTTAGGGCCAACCCCAAGATCGCCGGTCCCGCGATCAAGAGGACCCTGAAGACCGTGGGGTTTACCGTCTCCGACCGGCAATCACAACGCGCGAAGAAGCGCATTGCGACCGCGTCTAAGGAGGATGAAGCGGGTGCCATTTCGCGTCTTCCATCCCTTTTCGAAGGGATCGAGCGCGATTGTCCGGGTTCGGTCGCCACCGTCGAGGTAAGAGTTTGATCGGGACCCTATTGTTCAATGTGCACGTGATGCAGCCGTGCAAGGTTGGGCAAGGACTCCAGGCAACAGCAATACCACATGTACCCTAGCATGTTGTAGATGTGCCGTCGTCACGTTCCGTAGGCTCTGGGCACAACTATTGTAGGCTACCCTCGCTTCTTACTCGCCTCCATCCAAATAAATGATCCATCCCCGCACGCGATGTGTGAGCGACGTGCAGCCCAGTGTGTCGTTCGGGTCCTGACCTTCCTGTGGTTGTTATCCCGGGTGCACGCGTTTTCCCTTTTTAGGTGAGTCCCGACAACCGGTTCGTCAGGAGCTTCTTGATGCTGGGTAAGGCCGCCTACGTCGCCGCGCACAGTGTCCCCAAGGCGAGTGCATCTCTTTCGTGATTCTCGTGCAGACGTTGCTGGCTTTTCATTTTCGCTGAGATTTACCAAGCTATTAGGTAGACTATGTATTCAAGCCCTGGAGAGCGCCATTGGCCATTGAAGCCGTGGAGAGCCACTAAAAAAGTCACAAACAGTACGTTTGTCACGTCGATGCGCTTTTAGGTTGAACGGTACGACACAGCATCCTTGAACCCTCTACATCATTTGTTTTCGAGGAATGAACTCGCGGGGGATAGAAGCAGTGTTGTTCTGAAACCCGCAGCGAGGTTTGCGCAGGCACAAGTGATTTTCATTTTCAGGTAACAATCGATTGCGCGCTGACTTTCCAGCCACACAAAATCGAAATTACGACCAGCCATGTCTCGAGCTCACCAGCAAAGTCGGTTACTATGCATATGTATTGTAGCCCACCTCTGAGGACATTTGAGGCTTATACCAAGTGGTCCGAGCTCACCAGCAAAGTCGGTTACTATGCATATGTATTGTAGTCCACCTCTGAGGACATTTGAGGCTTATACCAAGTGGTCCGAGGAAGGCCATCAGCAATTGCTCCTCAGCTTCAGACTTGAGCCCCGGGTTGAATTTTGCACTTTGGTTGGCGCGCCATGTCTCGTAGCGCAATGGGGTCAAGTGTTAATTATGGCGATAGCAGTTCCCACATGTGTTCATGGTACGCCGTGTACTACGTGTGTGTACCCTCTCTAACAACATGGGGCCGAATAATTGCACCACGGAGATCCGGTGGAGGTTTGAAGTGGTGTCAGCAGTAATGGATAATCCACTACTACCTGCTCTTTGTCTCGAACGGGCAATATCTCTGTGTTCGAGTGTATGTCTTCCTTCGGCACTTTACCCTTGTCAACAAAAATGCTGCTGCTTGTGACCGTGGTACCTCCAACACCACGGCAATGCTGTGACCGACATTGCTGTGGTTGCATGTACCTCAACCAGCGTGTTCCCAGTGTTGTTCAAAACGAGCAGTAGCTTGTTTAACGGTTAACGCCATCCGTGCGAGGAACGGTGGACAAGGACTGCTGTTCCCTTCAAAATTTATTTCAATTGAAAGAACCGACAGAAAAGAAGAAACAGAAAATACCATTTGTTGCTATAGTTTTTATATCAAACCATCGATATTGGCCAGATTTTAATCGTATTTTTGCTAATCTTTTAGTTCTTATTAAAATTAATCCATAAGCGCCTGGCGCTCTTAATATTTTAGCGTTTTCTGGCAAAAATAGCTACAATAAAAAAAGAAGAATTTATCAGGCCAGTAAAAATATTTAATTTTGCAAAAAAAACTCCAAAAGGCGGTACGAGCAGTAGCTTGTTTAACGGTTAACGCCATCCGTGCGAGGAACGGTGGACAAGGACTGCTGTTCCCTTCAAAATTTATTTCAATTGAAAGAACCGACAGAAAAGAAGGCACCCAGAGAAAGAGAAAGTGAGAAAAAACGGGGGGGATGCCCGCGTCAACCGACAAGGGTTGGGTAACATTGCGACCTCATCCTACTATCGTTACAATTGGGGTGTGTTTTAGGGCCGGTATTGATCCAGGTGCAAGCCTACAGGTTCGTACACAGCAGCAATATAGAAAGCAGCATATCGGCCACGGAAAAGGCTTTCCTACTACCCTTGGCGGCATCTCGCATTTCACCTGGGGTGCTAGCTCTCACTCTTGCCGTTTTGGTAATTTTCTACCGTCCGTTTGCACGAATCCGAGACTACGTCGTATGATGACATGTTGCTCCAGCTCTCGCCCTTCTCTGGACTTGCTTCGGTTACAGCGCATTTCTGGACCTGTACTCGTCGACATTGCTTCGCAGGTTGATGGGCGCCCGCGTCCCAAACAGGTGATGGGATTCAGAGAGGGCGAGCCCAAACAACACTCCGGCAGCAACGCAAGTAGTGCCTTACGAGACCTCCCAGCACTTAAAACCGTTTGATCTTGCCCTTACGAAATATCCAATTCTCCGCCCCGCCGTTCTGAACAGATGGTGGCCATGGACGCTGGCCACCTCAAGGGTTCGTGGAAGGGAGTCATGTACGTCCTCTGCATGCATGACAGCAACAACAAGATCATCCACGTCAGCACTGTACTCGCAGACAAGGAGAACGCGACGAACTACAAGTTCCTGCTCCAGCAGACCTGCCGGAACGAGCACATGCATCGACTTCTTTCGTCCGGCGAGGTGACGTTCTTCATCGACGGCCACAAAGGATCACCGGCGGCCCTCAGGGCGGTTCTACCGCAAGCGCCATGGCGTGCGTGCGTGAGGCACCTCACCAACAAAATCATGAAAGCAATGGGACACGTGAGTAGAATTTGGGGAATAGTGACGTTTGTTTTTGGGGTTTTCCAAATGAAATGATGAAGAGTTTCGCTGCATGTCGTCGCGCATAGCAACCTTTATTAATATGTGTAGAGTATCGGACAGCCAATAGAACATTTCCTTGCTGGTGGAGTCCAGGTGCACAAGACGAGGCACTGGCCCAACTTGAAAACTTGACCATCACCCCCCCAGAGAGCCGGAAATTTCTTCTTTGCTACCATATTGCCTCGTCGTTGGAATTTCAGCCCATTTCTCGCAAACCGCATGTACCGTATATTGGGGGACACGTCGTGTGCTACTTGCGACGACGCTTCACGCGTAGTTTGAGCGGATCACGTGTTAGGGTGTGAGGGATGGTGCAGTCTTATGAACTGCAGCTTTTTTGCATCGCGCAAAGGGACCCAAAACTGTATGTACGACTCTCGGGCCGCCTCCGCGCCCCCCCAAAAAAACGCTCATGACTTGCTGTGCTAGAAAAAGTTCCCGCCCATTTTTTTGCACCCTTGTAGGAGAAGGTAACTCATCTTGCGTGCGTGGGAGTATGGATGTGTGACGGTTGTTGAGCCACAGATGTTGCGTTGTGAGTAATGGACCTCCTGTCAAACAAATATTGCAAGAACGCCTCCCCAGCACTTGTTTTTCTGTGCCCGTTCCATTTTTCTGGCGCCAGCAGACGCACCTCTCGGTGAAGATACATGTTCAGCTCATCAGCCAGGGTCACACACAACTCTTCTTTGCCCCTTTCGTTATTGTTTCTCCTCACCAATATTCCCTGTTTCGGGCTGCAACGCAGGCCTATTCAGTGGCGGTTTACCGAGCGGCGGTGATGCCTACCAAGGTCCTGTTTTAGGAGGCAATTGAGCCAGTCAAGAAGGACTTCCCGGCCAACTACAACCTCCTCATGAAAAACGACCTTGACAAATGGACACACCATGCTACCCCCAGCAACCTGGTCAACCTGAAGATGTCCACCTCCAACTCTGCGGAGTCCACCATTTCCGCGGTCGGCCACCAGGTTGGTGAACGAAAGGGGTGGATATGTTTAATAGGTCCGAATTGACGCACTATACCCTTCAAGAGGAGCGTTTCTCGCTGGATCTCATAGCTGGTGCGTCAGGATGTCCTCTCACTCAGCGTCAAGCGGCAGATGTCGGTTCCCGTGTGGGCGTACACAGGAGCCAGCGTTTTGTGAAGCCCCCGACAGCCGACCACTGTAGTTCCGAGTGTTCTCTGTTGACATTCCCATCGCTTCTTCTCATTTATGCATGCTATCTTGTGTCGTGAATGTTGGTGGTAATCGAAGTGGTATTTCGTAGGTGCTTTTTTTTTCAGTGGGTCGATCCAACATGAAAGAATCCAAGCTGAAGCGACTATGTACCATCCCTCACTACTCTACATCCGCATAAAATAGACTTGGTGGATGGGTGCATTTCTGTTTCCCATCCGGAGAGTATCGTAGCCCCTCCCTTGTCACCCGTTGGTCAGCGTGTCAGCAGGGTCCATGCTAAACGTGAGGACACATGTACATTCTCACCCAATTTTATTATTGTTAGGAATCCTGCAGTCCCGATTCTTCAACGGCCACTTGTCCGTGTGTTGTGATTTCCTTCTCTACGCACCAGTGTGTGCGGCAAAAGCTTTTTATGGTGTTCCTTTTTAACTCGTCAGCGTCTGAATCGTTGATGTGTCCCTTTTCCGTTGTTGACGTTTGTTGCTCGCAGAAACGGGAAATGGACCCTTATCATTTCCACATCGAGATTGCGGAGAAAACTGCGGAGCAACTCGCAACGAATGCCGAACTACTGAAAGACTGCCATGCCATCCTCGTTCCATTCGCGGCCAAGTTCATGGAGGACGAAAGGTTGCTCAGTCTTAAGTAAGTACCGAGGCAACCACGCCTGGTGCGTTCCTTGTTCTTTCCTCCGTTAATTCTACGGCTGCGTGGTCGGTTGGGTGTAGTACGCGTCGGTCGGGTGATCCACCCGTGCTGTCTCTCTCGTTTTGAGTCCATGAATTATTCGTCCGTTTCGGCTGTGGTTCTGTGTGTAGTGCACTCTTGACAACCAGAGAATGACACCTGTCTTTCGTCGACGGCACAAACTCTGTTTCGTCTGCTTTCTTCCCTTCCTTCTTCTGTTCATGGCGTTGGCCCCACTCGTCGGCAGCAAGCACGTCAAGAGCATGGGCTTGGGCACCTACCTTGTTCAGGAGCACGGCAAGAGCCAGTACGGCANGTCTCTTCCTTCTTGGTTCATTGCGTGCTTTCGTGCTACTTTCCTCCGCAGTGGGATCGTTTCGGTCTTCCGTTCGCACCGGGGAGGACATGGCGCGGGCAATAGCGGGATGAGGGAGGGTGACAAACCAAAGAACACAAAAAATACGACGCTCGAGTACAATTAATTGACCGTTCTTTGACGACTCTTGGCCCAATCCGCCTCTTGCCGATGCCGTGACAGCAATCGACAGGCTTGACTGCACGAGGGCGCCTATTGATAGCGGGTACACCCTGGCTTCCTACAGGGTGCTCCACACCCACCCCGACTATCCCGTCGTACTTCCGATCTGGTCAGAGCTTTCCAAGGGCGACCTCCTGCCCCCGCGGCAGGAAACCCGGCAAGCTGGTGCTCCGAAGAACCGTGGCCCCCGGCAGCGATCCCGATTCCCTGGTCGCAACGACAACTGCCAGCACGGACGCGGCAACGTAGCCCAAGACGGAGGTGATCGTGGCGGCGGGCCTGCCGCCGGGGGAGGGGATGGTCGTGGCGGGGGCGGCAACTCTCGGCCCGTCCCGGTACATGGGATGGGCAGTTTTCGCAGCCACGTGGGAGACCTCAACGTCGGAGGTTCCGCGGGCGAGCGACCTACCGGGAGGTTGTGGGGGGGGCTCGCGGTTCAGCGCTACGGCTCGCAAGACGCTTCCGGCAACGACCACGCAGCGGGGGCGGGGGCCGGGTCATGCTCTATGCTGAGTCAATCCCAAGGCTCCATCGACCTGTCGTAGCTCAAGTGGTTCGACTCGTAGCTCAAGTGGTTTGACTCGTCTTAGGGTTAGGTAACTTGGGCCTTTGAATTTCTTCGTCGCACGTTGTCGGAGTCAAATACGACGCTGTGGTCCGTGAATGGCAGGGAGCAAGAGATCGAATGTGTGTGCAGATTTGCGTAAAGCACCCGCGACGGCGGGGCGCGTGTTGTAGCACCTGATTTCGCGTGCCAGTTTCCATATGCTATGCACAACAGACAGAGATGAACAGCGAAATTCGACAACCACTCACGCACATGACTTCGACTTGGCTTGAAAAATGGGTAGAACCGTCGAGCCCCAAGAGGAAGCTGTTGTGAAGGACGGATATCGTCAGCCGTATCGTCAGCCATGCGCACGCAAGTACCTGCAAACTGCTTCTCACGATAATCGCGACGAAGAGCGTTTGCGGAAGTGGCCCTTCACCCCAACAGACAGATTCGCAACCGAATAACTAATCCACACCGTGAACGCCCGTTACCCAAACGTGTTCTTGTCAACGGGGGAGAAGGGGACAGTGCGTCGTGTAGAAACACAGAACGCAAGTGTTGGACGCGCCCCCAGACATAGTTGCCGGTCCACGTCTCCACCGATTAGTGGTGATGTACGCAGCGAAAATATATTGGGCCATAACCTTAACGTTTTGAACGCCATGCGTTTACTGGGTTCTACTGCTGCACGATGACAACACTACGTGCGAAGAGTCTACTACAGTACCACACCGCCACAGAAAGGTGTGTTTGGTGTTACCTCGGCAAGCAAACATGCATCTGCAGCATTTAACTTTGTATGTGTCGTTGTGCACATTTTGGATGGCTTTCGGTGCGTGCGTGCACACAGAATGTTGCACCACCTTCTGGCCTCGTGTCGCAGCTTCTACATGATTCACTGGGGGGGGG